TTAGAGATGGCGTGAGCGAGGGACAGTACGCCGCTGTCCTTGAGGAAGAAGTCCATGACATGAAAGAATGCTTCAAGAAGCTGGGCTGCAAGGAGATCCCCAAGTTCACTGTCGTCATTGCTGGTAAGCGCCACCATATCCGCTTCTTCCCTGAGGCTGGCAAGGGCGACCGCAACGGCAACCCTCTTCCCGGTACTTTGGTAGAGTCTGGCTGCACCCATCCGTTCGAGTTCGACTTCTATCTCTGCGCCCACGTTGCCATCAAGGGTACAGCTCGCCCCATCCACTACCAGTGCATTCTCAACGAGGGTGAGTGGCTGTCGGCCGAGCTCCAGCAGTTTATCTTCGAGCACTCATACCACTATGTCCGCTCTACTACTCCGGTGTCCCTGCACCCTGCGGTCTACTACGCCCACTTGGCTGCCGACCGTTCCCGTGCTCATCTCAACGACAACCCGGTCTCGTCTGGCAAGAAGGAGTCCAAGGCAGACCAGCAGTCTTCTACTGGTTCATCCAAGCAGAACGTCGAGATCGCTCCGTTGATGCCGATGCAGAACGCACGCGGCCTCAGGGATGTTATGTGGTACATCTAAGGAACGAAGAGAGGTCAAGCCGGTCGGTCGTGCTAGATAGGATGGCTTCACTGATTCGGAACACGATGGAGGACTCGGTTGCGACGATGGCGTGAATCTGTTCACGGCGCATCAAAAGTCGGTGATTCGGTATCCTCTTCAATCTTTCCTTGCGATATCCATATTTCATGGTCCTAGCGAGGACATCTCATGATCTCAGGTAGTATGCCTCGCCCGTCAGCGGCCTGGCAGAATCAATATGGTATAAAATAACTCCTGCTGCTTTGCGACGTTGTGATGTTGCGCATACGTACTCAGCTTCTCGCATTTGTTAACATGCCCACGAACTATCAGCCAGATCAGTTTGATACACAGTGTCCATCACCGGAACTGGGTTGAGTGTCTAAGAGGAGACCGTCCATGGGCTCAGCCTAGATTTTACCTTGCTCTTCACGATCCGAAGGCTAACCTGTCGCAGGCTCAGACTGCCGGGTGCTTAGCAGAAGTATAGCCACGGCCTTTACGACCCAAAAAACGGCGCCTGACCCTGAGGCGAGCTTCCAATCAGCCTGAATAGCTGTTGTATCGATTAAGTGGCCACGAGCCCCGGAGAGTCGATGCGCATGGAGATTTTCGTCTCCTCTCGTTGCGATCGGGTACAAGCTGTTAATTTCACGAGGAAACGCGGCCACGAAGTCGAAGATCGCAGAGCTTGCAACTTTGCGCCGAAGAATGGAGGTCGTACTCGCCGGGCTAATGGAGAGGACTCGCGTATTGTATGAGATAATAGAACGATAAGAGTCGGGGTAGGAATACAAGGAAGCCTGTAGTACGTGTTTGCAGGCTTCGGAACAATTGCAGATGCCTAGTTGACAATGGGTAGATCGACACAGACAGATTGCTGTCTGTTCTTATTGCGAAATCGTGTGCGAAGGTCAAGAAGCACTTTGAAGGCAGGCAGGAGACGACAGAGGCACTTCTGGCTTGCTGGACGCGCCGCGCATCACGAAGCGCGATACCAGAGAACTTTGCGCTCACGGCGATAGGACCATTATGAGCCTCCTATCACAGCTTCAGCGAATGCGAAACGACGATGGCAGGGTATTTACATACTCGATCGAGTCCCGGGCGCAACATCACATGCAGGCAAGAGGTATGTACCGTCCAATATATTTACCTTCGCTCCACCAGCGCAAAGCGCAGAAGAGAAGGGGGTAAGCGAACGCATAATCATTCTAACCTCCATTTTCCCCTCCAAATCTTCATTGATGGGAAGACACAGAGTGAATAATGGGGTGTTCAGTTTTAATGAACAGAAGAGGATCGCGCGACGCGTTGATTTTGATGGCTGCGAAGATTTCGGATGACTAAGGGGCGCTTGCATGGTTGGGGTTAGCAGCAAAGCAGGGGTCATGTGAGCGAATCAAGGCTGGCGCGTTGGGTGTGACGAGTATGGTGGGGCAGGGGATTTTGGGCGGCGGCGCGGGGTTTTGTTGTCGGCCTGTGGGAGTGATTCTTTTGCGAAATTGAAGACCAGAGTGAAGTTTCGGGCGTACTAGGTGAATAAAAACTCTGTAGGCGGCGAACAACGTGGGGTGGGAAGCTAACAACCTGTAGTTTGATAGACCTGCACTCTCACACCCGCCCTTGTGAACGGAGATCCTTACACAAACGCACCTTACCCACTCTCCACTAAAGCTTCCCACGGTTCGGACTACTGCGAGAAGAACTACAGACTCAACCGCAACCCCAAACCCTTCGATACCGACAAAGTCCCTCGATCAGCATACGGACTCGACCTGCAAGCAGTCACCGAACACTTTCCACTTCTCCACAAACAACTCAGACACACAACATGTCTTCAGCAGGACGTGGCCGCGGCGGCAAGTTCAACAAGGTCAAGCGCGGAGGCGGCAAGAAGTTCTCACGCGACCTACAACCGCTGAACGCAGATGGCGAGGTCGTTGGCATGTGGGGTGTAAGTACCTGATGTACCCAAAGCCACAAAGACTGTCTAACAAGTAACTGTAGGAACAACCCGACAAGGTTGACGAAGAGTCCTCCGAAGAGGAAGAATCCTCCGAGGAAGAGTCCGGCGACGAGGACGGCAAGCCCGCACAAGAAGAACTGACGCGCGAGCAGCGTCGCGAACTCGCAAAGAAGCGCAAGGCGGCCGCGATCGCGAAGAAGTCACAGAAGACCCCCGAGGCAGGCGATATGCCCACCGACTCCTCCGAAGAGGAAGACGACGATATGCCCGCGAACCCAAACCACACTGCGAAAGCCCGTACACAAGCCGCAAAGGCACCCGTCGATCCAGACGCTGAGCCCGCTGCTGCCGCTGCTAAGGGCAAAGGCAAGCAGCAAGACCTGTCTCAGCTCTCCCGTCGCGAGCGTGAGGCTCTCCAGGCACAAGCCAGCAAGGACCGATATGACAAACTACACGCTGAGGGCAAGACCGAACAAGCTCGTGCCGACCTTGAGCGCTTAAAGCTGGTTCGCGAGCGTAGGGATGCTGAGGCGGCGCGGAAGAAGGCTGAGGCTGAGGAGCGTGCTGAGCTGGAGAAGGAGAAGAAGGAGCTCATGGACCGCGAGAACAGGCGGCGGGAGCAAGCCAAGGGCAAGGCGGACCGTCTTGCTAAGGGCGGCAAGAAGAAGGCCTAAGTCTGACAGTCATTGTCAGGATTGGATCTTTCGCGACGTTACCAGTTACCTCTGCGACGCCCGGATGCCAGTATATGTGTGCGAATGCACTCCGTTCCATGCTTACGGGTTGCGCGGTTCGCGTACGGCGTAGCCACTTCGAGCTACTGGTCGATGCTCATGATGCGATGATAGAATCAAGTACAGGACGGCGGCATGGTGTATACCATGTAGCCTGCTGGATGTTCCAAAGAAGAAACAAATGTGATCCAAGTTCACGAGCCATGAACACCATTTTGCTTGCCGTGACCAATGTACCAAGACTGAGACGATGAATGCACGCCCTGTGACCGATACCCAGCATCTCACATTCAGGCAGCCTTGACACTGTATAGCATCTAGAACTTTCGATAGCAGATACGAGTCCGTATGCCGAGCCGTGAGCCCTCAAGCCGCCCTTGTGCTTCCCCGCGAGTTAGTGCCTCGCCTCGCGAACGCGAAGGTTCACGACTTCGTCATCACTCCCTCCACTATATGAGCATCACAATGGCGCCACTGATGCTTCTCATCATGCGCATACGCGTACAGATCCTTTCGCAATATCGCGCATCGCGTTACGACTCTGTTGAGCATGGCTGAACCAATACCTGCTGAGGAGCAATCCAACTTCGAAACCTTCCGCGACTGCTTGAGTGAACCCGTCCTCAAAGCTTTAGCTGCGCCAATCGAGAAGCCGAAACCGAAGAAGAAGAGACATGCGAAGAAGGGGTCGAAGAGTGGGAACAATGAGATCGTGAAGCAGGAGGTCGCACCAACGGTCGTGGAAACCCAAGAAACGGATGCAGAAGACCTGGGCGAATTCATAGAAGTATACCATCCCTACAAACATACACACACGCGTACTCTAGAGCCTCACTAACAGAAGAAACAGTATCTAAGCACCCTAATCTTCCCCTTCCTCCCCGCCGAACTGCGCACGCTCACGCACTCCATCTTCAAAGACTCACCGACCCTCCAAGACCTCTACACGACGCCCCTCTCCTCCTTCACCTCCACCGCCCTCCTGCACACCATTCCACCCACCGCAATCGACAGCCTAGAAAGCTACGGTCTCCTCCCACCCACCTCCGACACGATCGACCAACACAACCTCCTCACACCGCTCCTAACAACGTACATCTCTGCCGTCACCGCCCCGCCCCCAATATGGAGCAGCACGCGCGCCACCGCCTGCGAGCTCTGCAGCAGAGACTGGGTACCGTTGACATACCATCATCTCATTCCCAAAGCAGCGCATGCGCGCGTGCGGAAGCGGGGGTGGCATACAGAGGATAAGTTGAATAGCGTGGCGTGGCTGTGTAGGGCTTGTCATAGCTTTGTGCATCGGTTGGCGGGGAATGAGGAGTTGGCTAAGAGCTTTTATACGGTCGAGTTGATACAGGAGGGTGGAGTGGAAGAGGATGTTGAGAAGAGGGAGAGTGTTGAGGGGTGGGTTAGGTGGGTTGGGGGTGTTAGGTGGAGGAGTCGGTAGGAGGTAGTGGTATGATGGAAGGGTGTTGATTGCGGGATTCTGAGGTTGGTATTCGAAAGCTTTGGATTACCTGTTGTATTGTCCCTGGATGGATGCGCGACACCTTTTGGGTTGCGAGTACCATGGGATGGAGGCCTCGCTTCTCTGTATCCTGCCACCACTGTCGTGCTCTATCTCACATTCACGTCTCTGTCGCACACTTTCTGTCCTCTTTTTCCTGCGTATCGACAGCTTATACCTCGCATCAAGCGACCATGCTGCCACCCTTCGCCTACTCCGTCTTCCGACTCACGGTCTACCCCGTCTTCATCGTCCTCATCACGACCGTAACGGCCATCGTCACCATAGACCCATTCAAGAACATCACACTTCAGTACTTCGCTATTGGAAATATCGGTGTAGCGTTATGGGGTGTACTCGCGGGTGCCCTATAGACCATGAGAAGGAGCAGCAAATGGGAAGAGCAGTCACAAGAGCAGAGAAGCAAGCGGAGACATGATTGTAGTGTGGTAAAAATGGTATCGATTCATCCATCAGAGGTCAAGTCAACCAGACGACCTCTGGAAAGCACATATGCACGCTAAAATGAGGATATACAACGGGTATCCAGCCCTCAAAACGCCGGTGTCGATATGCGACAATGCCTAATCCAAACATGTAATCGTTGATACAAATCCCTCCAGTCCAGCTCGGAGATGATGATTATAATGGCGCGTCGTCCAGAAAACCCTTCTCGACTTCATCCTCAAAGATTGAATACGAACGCCCGCGCTCGCTCATCTTGTTCTCCTTCTTCCTCGCATCGAGACTTGCGCGGACATGTTTGAGGAAGGCCTCAGTGCTTGGGTCGCTTGGTGTACGGTGGAGTTCGCAAGGCATATTCGATGCATTCGCAACGGGTGCTGGTGCGATGATATTGGAAGAGGTGGTCGCTGAAGTCTTTGTCTTTCGCTCAACGGTGCACAGCCTCTTCGCAGACTCCCTGAACTTCTTGAAAGGGTCTTCAACTTTGGTCTCAAGCTTCTCTAGCTTGTGTAGCATCTGGAACTCCTCGCGGACTCGTCGCGCTGCCCACTCGCCGGCAGGGAAGGATCTTCGTCGTTGGGTGGTGGCGAGGTAGTCGTGGTATGTGTCGCTACTCAAGCGAAGCTCGAACTCGCTTGCTGGGTTGCTATGTGTGGGAGCAGGAACAGGCGCAGGAGCAACTATGGGTTCCGGTGCAGTGGGAACAGGTGTGGAGCTGAAGTCGACGAGTTGACCTGGATGCACTTCACCCGTGCTGTCACACCGTGTGGATGGCGCCAATACTGTCAAGGTCTTCTCGGTACTGTTCTTCTCGGAGGCGAACAGAGCTTCAGCATCTGTTGCTCTTGAATCAACTCTTTGTCTTTTGCAGCTTTCCTCTATCCCCGACCTTGGAGAGCCCGAAGCCGATGATATGGATGTGCGTGGGCTGACGTCAGGGGAGCGATCTTGACTCTTCCGCCGAGACCCAAAGCCAAAGCTGAAGTTCATGTTGAAGATCTGACTTGCCCGGCGACGACGCTTCTTCTTGAGGTTTGGGAATGACCATGGAGCAGCACTCTCTGGTTTCGATGCCATGGGGCCGGAGTGAGGCAGCAATGATGGGAGTGGTCTGCTTGTGACTGCCATCTTGAAATGGTTTGGAGTTGAAGGTGTGAGTGGCGTAAGGGGTTGGAACGGGTTGGTGAAGTGCAAGTTGTTGTTGTGGTTGTTGTTTGGTCCTTGCTTGGTGACTCTTGGTAATGGGAGTGTACGATGTATGTTCTGTTGTGGAGGATGATAGAGTTGCAAGTTTCGTGCTACCTGGCTCGCGGCGGTTGTCTCACTGGATAAGTAGGCGTCTCGTGTGAATGCATAGAACAAGTCATCTTGCAGGGTGTGTTCACGAGGCGCTGGTCGTGGGAGACGTGGGTCCGCGAAAGGCGATGCCGGCGAAGTGTTGGTCGAGGTTTGCTGCACGGGGAAATTCGGAAAAGGGCTGGTTTGTACTGGCCATGGGGGCGTGGTGCAGTCATATGGTGTTGGCGCGAACATTTGACCTGTGATCGCGTGGGTGTGGCCTCGTGCCGAGCACGCGGATGTGACTCCGAAGTTTTCCCGATAGCGGATTGGAGTTGCGGTGTGGAGCTGGTAGTCGCCAGCCATGTGTTGGTGATTTGATGGTGTCTCGGCAAGCGAGGTCCGGTGAGGAAATGTGCTGGACTATCTGCTATGTTTAAAGATCGTCGCCTGGGAGGTAGCCGCGGTAGCCAGAGATAACGATTTTGTGTGCTCTTGACCGCTGAAGTCGACTCCACGTTATATACCGCCTGTTCTGCATTATGGCATCTGCACGAGCTCGCCGATGAAAAGACTCACCGCGCCGGTACACTTGCCCGTGCACCACCCCTCAACCTGTGCATTTGCGTGCCTTGACACTGACAGACCCGGATATTCCAAAAACATAGAAAAACAACTCCCCACGGGTCCTGTCATCATACATCACTCTTACACCTCATGCCACCGTACCTGCGGGCCCACACGCCCTCTGCCAGCGGTACAACCAACAGCACACCGCACATCGTGACCAGGTCCCACGCAGCTCTGCGACACTAGCTTGATGACGGCGCTGTTGGTGAAGTTGATCGCTGGTTGGTTGCGGGGGCGCGACGTGCCGTTTGGCACCCGTGGGTAAGATGTGCGTCGGATTGTGGGTGAACCGTGGGCGGCAGACCGAGATCGCCGACTAGTGAAGTTTGGCATTGAGATCCAGGGTCCATGACAGATCTCAACGCATCTAGATCTGAACGCTTTAGTGCGCAGCGTGAACCATCGCGGAGAACAGCATCAAAAGCAACTTGCCAACTGAGAGTTGTTATAGAAACAGCGGAGATGCAGGAGACACATGCTGATCCTTTCATCTCAGGTACCAAAATCTGAGGTCGCTTCTCGCCGAGCCGTACCGGATGGCCTCCTAGCCAGAACATAGCTGTGAGCTAGTATTCAGGAGGCTGTGTATGGAGCTGAGCGGACGAGCGCGTCAGGGTGACTCCGTGAACACATCGTGCCTTCTTCAAAATTTCATGTGCCGAGGTCAACTTGTCGTACCTTGGGCGAGCCACGAAAAAGCATCGTGGATGTTGACGACCTTCTAAATCAGCAGTGCAGGTCTGGTGACGCACTCTATCCATAAAATTTGATATACATGTACTTGACGAGGTTGAAGATGGACTACTACTCTGCCTCAATGTGTTGACTGCGTAACTACCTCGGTAGATGAGCGCGGTACAGCTAGGCTCAAGCCAACCAAGAAGCAACGAGCACGGCAGTTATTCTGTCAACACCGTGTTGATCTATGACATGTGTCCCTTCATCAAAATCGAAACTCCCTGCCTCAGCGACTCTTCGTCTTGGCCCTTCTCTCCAACTCCATAGCCCCAATAATTGCGCAACCAACTCCACTCCCGTCTTCCGCGCTCGTAATCGTGATAGGCCCATCTCCTCCACAGTCCTCTTCTTTCCATCCCAGGACTTCGCCCAAAGCCTTGGCCCATCTCCTCTTGAATTTTGGGTGCTTATTTGCAACACTCCCGTCTGCAGCTACATGGCCTTTCTCGATACTCTCCATCGTGCAAATGGCAGCTACACCACAGGCACACAGTCGCGCACCACGCACGGCGATCATCTCAGCTAATCTACGCGAGAGTTCGATCTCGACGTCTGTGGGCTGTAGTGAGAGTGTAGAGTGGAAGAGTTCGCGTGTTTTGGTGAACTTGGGCGACTCATCGTCTTCTATCTGAGATAGGAAGCCTGTATCGATACTGTATGGCTCACGCAGCTTTTGAAGTCCCTGGTCTGAGGCTTGACTGAAAACGAGATCGCGATCTAAGAGATCTACCAGTATGAGACGGAAGATCTCGCCTAGGTACAGGCCAGCGGAGAGCTTCTCGAAAGTCTGCTCTCCAGGTCGCGGGCTCTCTGCATCGATCTGCTCGTCGTACTTTGTGAGGGGAAGGACACGCTTGGCTTGATCGAAGGCGCCATATTCGCAATTGATCGCCATCTTCTCTTCGCCCTTCGTTGCGCCGTTGTGGGATGATGCGTCAGTGATTCTGTCGTCGTTGGAGTCCAGTTTTCCAATTCTTGAGAGGCTGGCCATGAAAGCTGCATTGCAACCAGTACCAAAGATAGCGCCAACAATCGTCTCGGGGTCGTTGTAGGCGGAGGCCACCATGGCACCGACGGTATCGTTGATCACGCAAATCAACTCAACCGGCAGCTTCCTTTCTTGCAGCTTCTCTCGAAGTTGCTTCGCGGCGTCCTGGCCTTCTACGCCCTTGATGTCGAAACCCTTGGTCCATGTCTGCAGGACTGCGTGGTCGATACGTTTCTGTGTCGCTGGGTAACTGAATGTGAAACCCAATGGCATGGGCTTCTCCGCGGTGTATTGTTGATCTAGTCGGTGGTCCTGGATGAATGCCGCAACCTTTTCTGTAACGAAAGTCCAGAGACTATCGGCATCGCCAGTCTTCATCTCTTCTGGCAGCTTGTACTGCTCTTGCTCCATGCTGTGCTTCCCATCTCCTTCTTTCCCGCCCTGATCTCCATGCAGATCTACTTTACAAACTCTCAAGTTTGTACCCCCGAGATCAATAGTCAATATCGTGCCCTTCTCTTTTCCCGAAGGCAGATTATGCACCCAGGTGATGTTCATAGGGATGCCCTCTTGCTTGTCTTTGGTGAGGCCTTCTTCCAACTCTTCTCTGAAGCGGCTAACGATTTCCTTCAGTTTAGAACCGGAGATCCAAAACTGTTTGTCGAGCCGTGTGAGTTCATCGTCCAGATTTTGTGGTAGATCGGCCATCTTCTCGAGTTCAGAGCGCTGGCGCCATGATGTATTCGCCTCCTCGTCTATGCGCCGGCCTGCAGAGTTAGACATAATGAAGATCTAGTATTTCAGGATATGGACAAGGTGATGAGAAAAGTCTCAAAAGTATTTGGACGTGCTGTCTAGAAGCGAAGCGTATGTACAGATTGTTTTGAATTATTTTCATGTTCATATTTACAGCGCTCGACATGATGACATCACACGACGCTTGCCACGGCCCTGACTCCCAATTCAGATATTTGTCGCAATTGTAGCGGATCTTATCGTTCCAAGAGACCTTCTTTCGTGTAAATGACGTGCGTCTGGCATAGCAGAGTGGGAGCCGCGTGGGTGCCGCGTGGGTATTGCTAAAGCCTCGGGCCGAGAACCGCCGTACGTTTTGTTGTTGAGTGGGCCGTGGGTTAGGGGCTGAAGAAAGGCCAGAAAAGCAAGCGAGAGGTATGCGAAAATAGATAAAATTCTAATGGTATGACTGATGTGTTCGCGCATTCTTTATGCAGCGCGCGTGGTATCGACCGAATCCTTTACTCCGTCTAATGCGTAATGTACCGTCTTGTGATTATTGTAATCGAACAAAGGAAATATAGGTAGCTGAGAGTTCAGCAAAC